TAAACATGTGACATCCCACATCGCCCAGGGGTGATCCTTATATGTATATTCTCATCCCTACCTAGCACGAGGCCTTTTGGGAGCTCACTGGCTTCGGGTTCCATGGGAACTCCGAAGTTAAGCGAGTAGCGCGCGAGAGCATTCCCAGGATGGGTGACCCATCGGGAAGTTCTCGTGTGAGTTCCCAAAAACAAAACCGTGAGGGCGTGGTCGGGGCCCAAAGCGGACAATATCGTGCTACGGTGGTGGAGCGGGCCCGGGAAGTGATCCACCCTGGGTCGGGATGTGACAAAACAGTTGTTAGAATATTTTCAGAAAAATTCCATAAAAATAATTAGACAAAATTTAGACTATATTACATCCTAATTAGAAGATAATAATAAAAATATTCCAAGGTTTCCTAGCAAAAGAGAGATAAAAGAGCTTGTTGACCTCATAGGTAGTAAGATGAAGCAAGTAGAACTTAGATCGTTAGAAATAGTTGAGCAGCTAAAATTAGAAATTCAAAAAATTCAATTAGTACAAAAAGAGTTGAGTGAACAAGTAAATAAGTTACATAATAAAATAGATAAATTATTAGTTTAATGACCTCTTCTAGAACTAGCAGAAAATATATCCAAGCTTTGAAAGAAATTAGTAAGTTAGATAAAAAAACCAATAGGTTTAATAGATTTTTCAACACAAGTAGCTAGTAGTAATATTCCCATTAGGCAAAATAATTTAATTATTCAATTAGTTTTAAGTTTGGTTGAAAAATTAGATCAAGTTGAAGAACAAATAGTAGAAATAAACCAAGTCTTACATAACTCATCTTCATCACTTCCACCATCTTTGCTAGATAAATTAGAAAATTTAACTTTACGTGAAAATAGTAATATTATAAGACCTAACCTAAATCCCTTTGATAATAGAAAATCCAACTCTTTAGGAAAAAAGGAAAAGAAGTAGTTAGAGCTGAAGATATTTATCCAAATGAAGAAGAAGCACAAGAATTTATTCAAAGAGGTTTTGAGAGAACACAGAAAAATAAATATAATTTGTATCAATTAGGTTTATTTGAAAATAGAAGCAATGTTTTAGAGAGATCTTAGTATCTGATTATTTCCTCTTATTTTTCTTTTGGGGTAGATTTTCTAGGAGTAATTTAAACAAATTTTGGAGTTGTATTAGACCGTCTTATTCCAATTATCAAATAGACTATAAGATTTCCTCACATTCTTGTTCTAGGGTTTTATTGTCGAATAATTGCTACTATAATTTTATTTTCGCCGCCTTAAGTTGACATGTGTTGTTTATAGTAAATTAAGTTTTCTTTAAAGTTTTTAATATATGCATCTATCGACAATTTTTAAATTTTGTTCATCATTCTAAACCGTACTCATTGTAACATATATAATATACTAGCATTGACACATACAAGTTATTTGATGAGTGAATTCAGTAGACAAATCTAACACTAACATGAAATGTGTTTGGTAAAAAAAAAAAAAAAAGTTATTCTTTTTTAAACTGCTGTCAATGAAAGTAGAAAAGAATAGAAAAGTAAAAGCATAGTTTACCATGCTTCTAAAATAGTGTTTTTTTTTTTCAATCCATAGTAGTCAATGCTCATTTAATAAATTTTTAAATAGCAAGTATACCTCTACATGTTTTACAAAATTACAATATTTGCCCCGACATTATTGTTTTTGACAATTATTATATCACATTAGATACTATATTCTTTTTAGTCATTTAATATATTTAAGGAACTTTCATGAAAAGTATTTGGACTAAGTTTATCTTAATAAAAAACCATGTTATAACTTTATTTAATGAAAAAGACTTAAATTTTAATGAAAAAGACATAATTTTAATATTAAAAAAAAACTGATGCGCGGACCCGCGCCCCCCTCGCACAAACTGTTTTTGAAACTTACTACACCTTTTATGAAATTTAATGGTATTACACTGTTAATGAAACTTACTACACTATTTATGAAACTTAACGGTACTACATTATTTATGAAACTTAACGGTACGACATTATTTATGAAACTTAACGGTACTACATTGTTTATGAAACTTAATAGTAGATACTTGTCCCAGATTTTCAAGTTCTTTCACCAGAATGCAATAAAAAGATAAAAATAAAAAATAAAAAACATGATAGAGATCAACGTCCACGTTGCTAAACTCATGCATGGTTAATAGCTCAATACCATTACTAGAAAAATGGGTGATGAGTCCAAGGATGTTGTCAATGATGTTGCCCCACCCGTACCCCCCAACCATCCTAACCCACACCTGACCGACTCTTTCCTAACCATATTGTCCCAGATGTGGTTCTGAATCGAATGAAACCCACTTCAATTTGAAATTTGGGTAAATTACATTCTACCTCCTCATGTTTTGGTGCAATTGCAACCTCATACAACATCTTTAAAACATTTCAATTTCATACATTTACTAATATTTTATTTCAATTTCATGCAACAGTTACAAAGTCTGTTAAATTAACCGTTAAGTGATGATATGGCAAATATGGGGTCCTCATTTGTGCTGACGTGGCTGACGCATTTGTGCCACGTGGCTAAACACTTAATAAAAAATTTAGAATATTAAAATAATTAATTATAAAAAATAAAAAATAAAAAAACGCCGAAAAAAACCCTTCGTCTTCCCCACCCAAGCCCACCCCTTCTCCCATACCCTACCCACCCCTTCCCCCATTAATTCTACACCTCCATCTAACCCAAAATTCCAAATTCCTGACTAGGGTTCTTGTGGACGCCCTTGTCGACAAGAACCAGAACCCCAATGAGACCTGGACGAATGAATTTGCACTGGTCAGACAAATCGGAACCCCAACAAGAGCGCTGCTGTGCACAGAACTCTCGGCTGCCTTCAAGAATTTGATGGAGGTGGAGCGCAGAAGTCTCGCATCGACATTACGGTTGAACCTCGATGTCGCCGTTGCCTGATTTGGACCAACCAGCTCGACCCGTAACTCGAAGAACTCAAATTTGAACCCAATTCCACCTAGATCCAAACCCTTTACTAACCCATGCGCGAATTGAAGAAAGTCTTCTTTGTGTGAGTAATTTTTTGCAAATTTTGGGTATGAGGAGTTCAGAATTAATGGGGGAAGGGGTGGGTGATGGGGGATGAGAGATGGGGGTGGGCTTGGGTAGGGAAGACGAAGGGGATTTTTGGTGTTTATTATTTTTTATTTTTTATTTTTTATTTTTATAACTTTTCTTTAATTAATTATTTTAACATTCTAAATTTTTTTTATTAAGTGTTTAGCCATGTGGCACAAATGTGGCAGCCATGTCAGTATAAATGAGGACCCGATATTTTCCATGTCCTCACTTAACGGTTAATTTAATAGACTTTGTAAAGGTTGTATGAAATTGAAATAAAATAATAGTAAATGTATGAAATTGAAATGTTTTAAAGATGTTGTATGAGGTTGCAATTGCACCAAAACATGAGGGGGGTAAAAATGTAATTTACCCTTGAAATTTTAATTTTAGAGGAATAAAATATGCTTGAATTATGTCAAAAGGTTATGCAACTGAAGAATTGGTTGGATGCTCTTTCCTTTAGTAAGTTTTTTTTTTTGTTTTTTGTTTTTTTGTTTTCTTTCTCTTGTCCTTATCATTAAATAAAATTATATGATGTTTTTTTTGTTAAAACTCAAAGTTTTAAAACCCTTTTTATTAGTTTTTCTTATATTCAAAGCAATTTACATAAAAGTTTACTAAACACTCAAACATTGTTTTTTTTATTATTTTTATTATTAAAAGCACTTTTATAAAAAAAAAAAAAAAAAGGTTTACCCAACACTTAACAACTTTATTTTACACTTATTTATTCTCATAGCACAATAGAAGTAGTTAAAAAAAAAACAGCGATACCAAACTAGCCCTTAATTGTACATAAGATCCATAAAAAAGAAGATTCGGAGAAAGGGAAGTAAAGAGATTTTTTTCCGGCTAACTTGAGTGTTAAGATAGCATTTTCCTAATTAGGCCACTAATGCCTAGGTATAAGCCAGAACACATCAAAAGACACACACAACCTCTTTCTTTCCGACACACGTTCCATACAAATTCAAACACAATTTGCCTCTCAAATTCAAGATTGTTGATTTTGTTCAACATCCGCATCCAATTGATTTCTTTTCATAACACAGGCAAGAGGTAAGATTTTTTAAAAAAATTCTTTTATGGGTAATGTTACGGAAAATAAAATTTTAAACCTAATTTGCAGACTAAATGACGTGTCACTAATAAAAATTAAACACGTTAATCAATGCTTAAGTAATAATTCAATCATCAACAACTATATTATTTGATTTACAAATTTAATCTCTCTAATATTATCCTTTTCTTATTATTAAGGAGAAGGATTCGAAACAATAATTAAAGAATATAGAGTTTTCAAAACACATGAATGAAAGTTCAACATCCTGTCCACAAAAAAATTGAACCACATGCAATCACAAGGTAAGATTAACTCACAAAATATGTACTTTTTTAGAGTGCAAAGGGCAACCCCCAACAATCAGGCCACAAAACACGGTAAAGAAGGTCGGTGTTTTAAACTTTTAATTTAATTAATTAATTCCTTTACCTCTTTACTCTCTCCGACCTCCACGCGTCAAAAGCAGCAGGAAGTTATATTAATCGATCCGTACTACGTGTACCACTGTCAAGAGAATATTTGGCACTCTTGTAATTACTCCCAAATCATAAGGTCAAAGTCGTTAATGCCAAAAAGATCAAATTTTATAAATCAAATAATGTAATTTTGTAAATAATTGATATATATATTTTTTCTTTACAGATAATTGAATTATTATTTAAATATCGAATAGTATTTTTAGTTTTTTACTAATAACATATTATTTAAATAAATTTTATTTAAAAATTTGATGTTATAGCGTTACCGTTAAATATCCTAACATGCCTGCCATTGTTCTCAAACAGAGTCACCTCCACTGTTCCTCTCTCGAATTATAGTGTTATTCACTTGACGGTTCTCGCACAACCCAAACTCTCTTTCCTCTCTTTTTCTCTCTAGAAGCAGCACCAGTTCATCCATTCTTTCTCTCTCCAAAGTGCCAAACTCTCCCACTTTCGCACATCTTCCTCCACATTCCACAAAAAAGCAAACACAACCACCGCATCCATGGCAGAGGTCACGAAGCAGCAGCACCTCCCCATCAAGGGCGGAACTCTGATCTCGGACGTCAACAGTCTCTTCTCTATCCTCAACACCAGAAACACCGTGGCTTTTGCATATGGCATCATGTTTGCTTTCATCGCCTTGACTGTTTTCATGACCTTCAATCCCTCCGCGAACTACACTTCTCCATATTTTGCAAGCATTATCACTACTTCAAATTCTACTACTTCCACTTCTGGTTCGAGCAATTCACTTTTCTCCTTCTTCTTCCCCAATGGTACTTCTTCATCTCCGCCGCAGCAAGATCGAACCGTTTTTTCTCCTCCGCCGCAAACAGAGCTGTCTAGATCTGCTAACACCACCGCCGCCCCCGCAGCATCTGCCACTGTGAATAAACAACCCACTATTTTGAACCCGAATCAGACCTCAAACGTCCAGCCAATACCTCTAGTCACACCCAAGAATAGTACTACTTCACCTGAACCGACAACCCGTTTGAAAAACCAGACCGACAACACTCACAATTCTGAGAATGCCACAGTTTTTACAGCCAATCAGACCGGAACCACCGCCCCAAAAACCCCGGTGGCGGCCGGGAATGGAAGCGCCGATCCGGCACCGAATTCGATTTCCGCGAACAAGAGTGTTGCAGAGAAGGGTGTAGAGAAGAATTTAACTGCTCCCCTGTTGAAAAAACAGAGCAATGAAACGAATTCCGGCGTGCCGGCGGAGCAGGGGAAGCAGGGGAGTGATGATTTGGTGAAGTCTTTGATGAATTGTGATATGCTACATGGAGAGTGGGTGAAGGACGATTCGTATCCGCTATACAAACCTGGGTCTTGTCCTCTGATCGATGAACAGTTCAATTGTATTCTCAATGGCAGACCTGATAAGGATTACCAAAAATTCAAATGGAAGCCCAAGGATTGCACTTTACCAAGGTATGTGATCAAATTGTAAATTTACTTGTTGGAAGTTTAATAAATTCTTTTTTTTGGGTACCATTTTTATGTGAATAATATTGTACTTGGATTGGCTTTTGATCTACTTAGATGCTTATTGGGTTATTGGGTTTTGATTAATCAAAGTTCATGTTGATCTGTTGTCGATTTTCAGTTTTAGATATTAGAATTTTGCTTCTGTTTTTGGCATTGTTTCAAGTTTCTGAAACTGGGAATTTTCGGCTTTCGATATCGGAATTTTAGGCCTTAGTTCTAGTCTCGTAAGATATTTTGATTAAGAAAGTTAGGGTTTTTCTCTGTATATCGGTTGAAAATGATCCGTGACTAAATCTTTGGGTTTTGCTTGACGAAGACATGTTAATATGAAATGGGTTTTATGACCAGGTTGGATGGAAGTCATATGTTGGAGTTGTTGAGAGGAAAGCGCCTGGTATTCGTTGGTGATTCTCTGAATAGGAATATGTGGGAGTCTCTGGTTTGCATCCTTAGAAACTCGGTGAAAGATAAGAGCAAGGTTTTTGAAGCCAATGGGAGAACCCATTTTCGTGGGGAAGCTTCGTATTCCTTCATATTCAAAGTAGGTTAATTCGATTAATCAATTCTTCAACTTATTCTTATATTGGGTTGAGGCAACACTTCATCTATTTGTTGAAACTTATGTGCTATTCTTGTTTAAATTGAATGGATTGGCAGGACTATAACTGCACGGTGGAGTTCTTCGTGTCTCCCTTCTTAGTTCGAGAATGGGAAATGCCGGAGAAAGATGGATCAAAGAGAGAAACACTTCGTCTTGACTTAGTAGGGAGATCTTCCGATCTATATAAAGATGCTGATATCGTCATCTTCAACACCGGACACTGGTGGACTCATGAGAAAACATCCAAAGGGTAAGTTTATTACCATCTTAATTCAAATAATATCTAGGTTTGTAGTGTAGACTCTGGCCATTGGAACTAAAATAGCATAAAATTTGCAGGAAAGACTATTACCAAGAAGGTAGCCATGTCTATGGTGAATTGAATGTTCTTGAGGCGTTTCGGAAAGCTTTAACTACGTGGGCAAGATGGGTTGATGCCAAGGTTGATCCGAAGAAAAGTATTGTCTTCTTTCGGGGCTATTCTGCTTCCCATTTCAGGTAAACTTGAAGTAATCATAGTTTAACCTAGATAGTGATAATGCATTGCATTATAAGTTTCCCTGCTTATTTGTGTGCCGATGCTCATGATATTGCATCAACATTATGGCCTTTGAATTACCAATTGAGAAGTAAAGAAATGAACATGAATATGTTCATTGCTGTTTCCTTCAGAATATGGTCAAAATTAAGCAACTCTTATGTACATGAAAATAATTGAGATTTGTATTTATTTTTCCTCCGACAGTGGTGGGCAGTGGAATTCTGGTGGCCAATGCGACAGTGAGACAGTTCCCATCTTCAATGAGGAGTATCTGAGACCGTACCCGCCCAAGATGCTGGTACTGGAGAAGGTGTTGAGAAACATGAAAAGCCATGTCACATATCTCAATATCACAAGAATGACAGATTTCCGGAAGGATGGTCACCCGTCAATCTACCGGAAGCAAAAACTGTCCAAGGAAGAAAGGACATCACCTAAGAGCTTCCAGGACTGCAGCCATTGGTGCCTTCCTGGTGTTCCTGACGCATGGAATGAGGTTCTCTACGCCGAGCTACTAGTAAAGCTGTACCAAAATAAGCAGCAGCAACTGCAACAGCAGAAGAAGAGAGCATAGGTAAAATGTCACACTAAACTTAAAGGGCCACATTCATTCATACTCAAACATTGAGTGATCTAAATCACAGTGAGCAGTATACTCTCTTTTTTCCTGCCCTTTTTTCAACATTATCGATGTAAAGCATCGAAGCAAAGATCCGACGAAGAGTAACTTATTCTACAAGTTATGTGATCAAAATGCATAAACTTATTTGTTTATATGAATGAAGAGAGCAAGGGGAAGAGTGAAAAGAGCGTAGGGAGTTATTTTAGCCAGTGATGCAATTTTCACTTGTAAATTTCTTTCTTATTAGCCCAAAAAATCACAGGCTTGTAGAATTGTAAATTTCTATCCTCTATTAATTATTTAATTTGTTTAGTTTCTGTTAAGTCTTGCTTATTCTTTCAATATCTTTCTAAATAACCTGCGAAATGATAACCGAACACCATTTTTTTTTCCCATGCACGCTCCATTTCCTATTTGATCTTGTTCGTTGTTTTTGTTTAATTTCTTCCAGTTCTTTATAACTTTAGCATATCCGTGATGGATCTGTGATTGTTTGTACCTTAAAGTTGCAGGCTGTTTACTGCTCTTGATGAGGACATACTGATGATAATAGAATTAATCTGGTAATACATTGTTAAATAGTTGATTAGGAGGTTTATGGCCAAGAACTTTTTCAAACGTGTCACGTGGGATGCGTGGCCATAAGTCAAAAGTTAGGCAGTTCAGGTTTCATGTTTGAATATAATTTCTTAGCGGTTGACACGTGTAATTGTACTATAGCTACCATTGACCACCGGTGTGAGCGGCAAATTGTTTGGCTTCAAGAAATGTTAAACCATAATTTTCATCCTAATTAATGTGATTAAGGATTTGTTTGGATGTGCTTTTAAAATGACTGAAAGCGTTTTTAGAGAAAATGTTTTTGGGTTCCAAAAGTACTTTAAGTGCTTTTTACAAGAAGCTCTAGTTGTGCACTTCTTCCAAGAAGCACTTTAGGTGATTTTCTAAGATTTACTACTATTTTTACTAAAGACTGTTTTCAAAAATATTTTCACAAAAGGTGTTTTCAGTCATTTTAAAAGCACATCCAAACAACCTTAATTTTATATTAACACAACGGCCATGGTGGCTTAGTATATCATGCCCAACTGTGGGGTTCCTTGGGGTACTGTTTGGTACACAGACAGGACGGAACGAAGGTTTCGTGTTATGTTTGGTATGCGCAGGATGGAACAAGACGGTTGTTCCGTTCTGTGTTTAGTAAGCGCATGGCGAATGGAACAAAAAGATTAAATGACTAACTTACCTCTGTTCCATCTGTTGTTTGGTGCAATATTTATGTGATGGGATGAGACGGGTCAAATTTTCAGTCGTTCATATTTGAACACATATGCTTATCTATGATATATTTTTTACACTAGCGAATATCAATTCTTTTTTGTCATTTTATTAATAGTTTTGCTTGCAGACCTATTTAATTGAGCTATTCTAAGGGAATAAAGAGAGGGAGACCAGTGGCAATAAGAGAGAGAGAAGAGAGATTTAATTGTGAGGTATGTGTTGTATCATCTCATTGTGCCTTTATTTATAGGAGTAAGATAGGTAAAATCCTTACCCTTACAACTCTTAATAGATAATCAGCTCCTAATAAGAATATAAGAGATATTCTTAGATCCACTAGAATTTACACAATCATATTCATATACTAAATATGACTGCAACACTCCCTCTTGAGTGTGTAAATACTCAAACAATCATCGCATCAGATCTTCAGCAGATAAGGTAGAACAATTGATGAAGTCGATGACACAAAACCTTAAGAAAGTATGCATTTGTAGTAAAACTCACAAAACCTTGCTATGGTAAAATCTAAGATGAGAAAAAAACTCATAGATTAAGGAGAAAAGTTAGAAGTATGCATAATGTCTAAAACAAATGTCAAACAGGACAAAAGTAGTGAACTCAACGGAATATGATCATCCCAGGGTGGGTGCCTCATAAAACCTCGTTAGGTAGAAAAAACCCAGCGGGGAAAAATGCTCCTAATCGTAGGAAAAAAAGTACATTAAGATCAAGTGAGTATGTTTGAGGATACTCTCCCTGAGTTAGACATAACTTCCAAATAAGAGAACTATAAGTAATTCAATTAAGATAATTTACACATACAGATTCCTTCGACTAGCTTCTGAAAAGTAGACTTGGGATATGACTTGGTGAAGAGATCGGCCAGGTTGTCCTGGGAACGGATTTGCTTGACTGTAATGTTTTGATGCTGTTGTTGCTGGTGAGAGTAAAAGAATTTTGGCGCTATATGCTTGGTGTTGTCTCCCTTGATGTATCCCTTATTTAACTGCTCGATACATGCTGCATTGTCTTCAAAGATCGTTGTACGAAAGTCAACGACGGAAGTAAGACTACTAGTGTTTCGAATATGTTCCATAACTGCTCTCAACCAAAAGCACTCATGTGATGCTTCATGCATGGCGAGAATCTCAATATGGTTCGAAGAAGTTGCAACTAGCGTTTGCTTGGTAGACCTCCAAGATATAGCGGTGTTTCCAACAGTAAAGACATAGCCCGTTTGAGAACGTTCCATATGTGAGTTAGACAGATATCCAGCATTTGTGTAACCAATAAGGCATGAATCAATTCGAGGACCGAGAGGGCGACAGCTCTTCTCGAGGATTCGTGGGTGTACAACGAGCCCAAATCTGTTGTACATTTGAGGTAGTGGAAAATGTCTTCAACACCATTCTAGTGTCTGCGTGTAGGTGCATTGCTGTATCTAGCCATAAGATTAACAGCGAATGAGATGTCGGGTCTAGTGCATTGAGCCAAGTACAATAAAGCCCCAATTGCACTTAGGTATGAAACTTCAGGCTCCAAAATCTTTTCCTCATCCTCCTTAGGACGGAAGGGATCTCGTTTATCATCTAGAATCCGGACGACCATAAGAGTACTTGAAGGCTTTGCTTTATCCTTATTAAAATGACGCAACACATTCTGGGTGTAGTTCAATTGATGTACTAGAATTCCATCTGAGCAATGCTCGATCTCTAGGCCAAGGTAATATAGAGTTTTCCCAAGATTTTTCATCTTAAATTTCGATTTCCAGTGCGCGGCAATTTCCTCAAGCTTCACAGAAGTTTCGATGAGGTTCATGTCGTCGACATAAACTGCAACGATTGTAAATCCATAATGTGACTTCTTTATGAATACGCATGGGCATAATTTGTTGTTCATAAACCCTGACTTGTCAAATATTCACTCAGACGGTTATACCACATCCACCAAGATTATTTTAATCCGTAGAGTGAACTCCTCAATCTAATCGAGAGAGTGTTCTGTGGTCTAGAACTATTTGAACCAATTAATGGAAGTCCTTCTAGAATTTTCACGTAGATTTCCGTATCTAGATCCCCATAGAGACACGTGGTTACCACGTCCATAAGTTGCATATTCAATTTTTCGGAAACTACCAAACTAATTAGGTAGCGGAACGTTATGACGTCAATTACGAGGAATACGTCTCCTCGTAATCAATCCCAAGGCATTGAGAGAAGCCTTACTCTACGAGGTGTGCTTTGTATCGCACTATTTCATTTTTCTCATTACGCTTCCTCACAAAAACTCACTTGTAGCCCACGGGCTTCACATGTGGTGGAATAGAAGCTACATACCAAAACATCTTGTGTTTCACACGCAAATCGAGTTCGACCTGGATTGCTTGTTTCTAGTTTGACCAATCTGTTTTACGTCAACATTCATCAATGAAACGTGGTTTAATGTCATCGCTAAGCATGATGTCAGTAGCTACTATGTATGCAAATGCATCATCGACAATCATCTCGTTTTGATTCCAAACTTCATCCAATACTGCGTAGTGGACCGAAATTTTGCGATTCTCGGGAGGTCGGGTTGTCTCGTCTAAGACATCACCGTAATCTAGAATAATCTCATGCGTTGGAACATATGAATGAGCGATGGTCCGATTCAAACTAAGGTTACTAGTTGGTGCCAATTTCTTCTTCCGGGGTTATGAATCATTTGAATCAAGGGGTCTGCCATGCTTTAGGGTCGGAGCAGATGATTAGCTAGCCGTTAATATACCAGGCTGCGTGGAAGGTGATGCCTCCTCACCTTTCGAGACGGTCTGGCCTTCCCAGGCGGTGTTACGACATATGCAGGGTACATCTATCCTTGCAGGTACGTTTACAACAGGTATATGTGATCTTGTAACTTTAGTTAGATCAGTAAAAGTATCCGACATGCTTTTGAGCAATGCTTTGAAGATCTATAATTCGTCGCACCTCACTTTCAGACTGGGTAGTACGGGGATCGAAATGAGACATAGTGGGAATATACCATGACAATTCACAGCGTTCTCCAGGAACATTAACATGCTTATCTCTCATAACAATGGGAAAACTGTCTCATCAAAGTGACAATCTGCAAAACGTGTGGTAAAGAGATCTCCTGTCAAAGGCTCTAAGTAGCGAATAACAGATGGCGAATCATAACCAACATAGATTCCCATTTTTCTCTAAGGATCCATTTTGGTACGTAGTGGCGGTGCTATTGGCATATAGATTGTGCACCCAAACACACGTAAATGCAAGACGTCAAGCTCGTATCCAGTGACCAATTGTAACGATGAATGAGGTTGGGTAGCTATGGACCTTAGGTGGACCAGTATGGCTGTGTGCTATATTGCATAGCCCTAGGCAGATATCGGCAGTTTGGTTCGCATAACTAAAGTCTGAGCTATCAATTGAAAGAGCCTTATGAAAGCTTTTGCTAGGCCGTTTTGGGTGTGAACATAGGGTACATGATGTTCAACTTCAACCTTATTGACATGCAATAATTGTCAAAAGTCTGTGATGTAAACTTTCCAGCATTATTCAGTCGAATCGACTTGATTGAATAATCAGGGTGGTGAGCCCTTATCTTAATAATTTATGCTAGGAGTTTCGCAAATGCAGCGTTGCGTGTGGACAACAATAAAACATGTGACCATCGTGTCGATGCATCAACCAACACCATAAAGTATCTAAATGGTCTGCATGTTGGTTCAATAGGTCCACAAATACCCCCTTAAATCTTTTGAAGAAACTTAGGGGGGTTGTGAATAATCTTTGTATGTGAAGGTTAAGTATTCAACTTCCCTGAAGAGCACACTTTGCATGGCAGGAATCTAACAGATGGAGGTAAATGATGCCATGTGATGATTTGAGGATACGACGCATCATATCACGTCCGGGATGTCCTATAAGGTCATGCTAAAGCAGCAAAGTGCTCAGCCGGTCACATGGTGGGCTTCTATGTTGTGAATGGTTGTTATATACAACCCACTTGGGGGACATTCTAACTTCTCGTGAATATACTTCTGGCCATACTCGTATAAATAATACAAAGAAATTCAGAACCATTATCTTCAGCGGTTTCAATATGATATTGATTATCTTGAATATCTCTAAAACTCAGCAACGTTATTCCGGAACGTTGAGAATAGAGGGCCTCTTTAATGGTTAAGATTGTACCATTAGACAGCATAATACGGGGGCTTTCCGTATCCTTCAATTAGGTTGAATGAGCCTGAGAGAGTCGTCATATGTGCTTTCTTAGGTAGACATACAACTAACTTCGCCACCAGACATACCTAGAAATAAATTGATTGAATTGGTCACATGCATTAATATAATTCCATTCATTCAATTAATCAATTTGAGAAATAATAATCATAAAATAATTATCCATAATTCAAAACAAACCAAAACCAAACAAATTATTCCAAATACTTAGAAAAATTACCCAAAAATTAAACCATAAACCTAAAAGGGGGCGGGGGTCTGGCCACTCCTAGTGAGTTCGGCCACTAGGGGTAAAACACCCCAAAAACATGTCTAAAAGAATAAAAATTATTCGTCCATAGAAGCTGATGCCTCCTGAAAATCTGATGTTTCCATGGATGTAGTAGCATTTTCAAGATGGTCCACATGTGCAAAGTTAGACTCACGATGGGAATGATACTTGGCAATAGCCTAGGGGGTAGCTCAACATACGCGTGACCAATGTTCCTTTGATCCACATCGGTAGCACATGTCCATTTTAATGGAATCTGATTGAACGGTAGCTTTTCCCTTGTTCTTGAAGTTTAGGGCCTTCGGGGCAAGGGGTTGGCGCTTCTGGGTCAAATTTCCTCCTTGGATGGGCCTTGACTATGTTGACCTTAGGCCAATACCACAGCCATAATGATTCTTTCATCGTTTGTGGCTGCTAGAATTGGTCGTATGTGCTTCAGGCGTAGCGCTCGAGCTAGTGGGTCGAGCTTGATAATTCTTCATCAAAAGCTGGTTCAGCATTTCAGCGAGAAGTAAAATAGAGCTCAAATCTGAAAATTTGGTAAACTTTTGTGCCCTATATTATTGCTGCAGGACAATATTGGTGGTATGGAAGGTCGAATATGTATTCTCCAGGAGATTTGATTCTGTTAATTCCACTTTATAGAACTTAACCAGTGATCGGATTCTATGAACTTCAAAGTTGTATTCATTTATGGACTTAAAGTCTTGGAAGAGAAGATGCTTTTGTGGAATTTGGTATCTTCTTAGTTGAGGTGTCACCACAACCTTAGGATCATTATAGTTTTAACTGTCATTCATCGGACTTTGTTCACCAGCTTCCCAGTCATCAACTAACCTTTTTTCACTGCACATGCCTTAGCCCTAGTATGTAGTCTTTTGACTTTATGAAGACTACATAATAGGGTTGAACCTTCACTGACATGCATCAACTAAGCAATCTGGATGCGTAACACTAAGCCTAGCACTTTAATGGTTCCAGTGTAACATACTGATCTGGTGGTCTAATTAGAGCACCCCGGTCTAGTGGTCTCAATATAGCATCATGTACGCCTAGCACTGCCTGTAGTACCTCATCTATAATTATATGCCTAGCACTGCATGCCTAGTTACCTCGCCTAGAACTATATCCCTAGCACTGCATGCCTAGTACGCTGCCTAACATTGGCTAGCACCTCTCCTCACACTACATGCTTAGCACCGCACATAGAATTGCATGCCTAGCATTTCGCCTAGCATTGCGTGCCTAACACTGAGCCTAGCATTGCAAAATAGGGTCTATCATATATAAAGGTTTCCTCCATCCATCAATGACCTGGTCCTCCCTTTTTCCTTTGGGTCTTGGTATTTTCTTCTTTCCTTGGGCCTTGATTGAGCCTTTTCTTGGGCCTACATTGTATTTAGGGGACGGAAAATACACTTGTTAATAAATTTTAAACTTCAACCCATATATGAGAAACTCTTAGATTTCAACTAACATGTCATGCGACATTCCTAAAGTTTTATTTTAAATTTGCATGGTTTTTTAAAAAAATTCATCGAATGTAACCAATACCAATACATTCATTGCTAGTTTCACAAATTTTCATATCAATATTTTAAACATAGCATATAAACAAAGGATAAGTAAAATTAAAATTATAAACTACCTGCCGTTAACTTTTTCATTTTATGAAAATAAAAAAAAGCTTGAAGCAATGCGGCGTGCCTCCGACAACATTTCAGAGATGGGGCCCGCATGGCAGTCCACTTAGTTACCGTTGCTAGAAGCAACGTGGCTTCTTCCAAGCCATTGGATTTCCAATTGCTATTTTTTCTAGGCCGTTGGATTTCCATCGGTAAAAAAATATTCAAACCTCCCCCAACGACTAGATGATGTGGCATAATCTGGACCGTTTGATTTCCAGCTTTAATTTTTTTTTAAAATATTAAAAATGAATTAAAATAAAAAAAAATCAATATAAATATGTATTATTTTATTTAATTTGTTTTTTTTTTTAATTTGGTACTTTATTTGAAATAAAATCCTATCAAAAATTAAAAAATAGAATAAATTTTTATTATTTTATATAATAATAAAATACTAACATTTTAATACGAATTGCTTGTGCTATATAGTTTAGGGGTGGAGATGTAATAGATAACTAATGTTTATTAAAGATGGTTACTATTTACTTGAGAGGATTGAATTGCCTATTGCTAAGTGGGGCCTTTAGAGCACTCCTACCCCTCTCAAATCCCCAGGGTCCCCTCCCTCCTTCCCTCCCCCAAAACTCCTCCACCCCATTCCAATCAACTGGGCCGTTGGGGTGCCTAGTTGCTCACCTAGGCTAAATTCGACCAACCTAGCCCCTAGGTCATGTGACGCAAGGCTGATGTCAGTTACAATAAACAAAATTAATAAAAAACTATAAAAAAAAGTTAATTAAAAACACATAAAGTATAAAAATATTTTTTTCTGTAAATACCTAACCATGTTCTCCTACCTTACACCATATTTCAATATTTTCAAATACTTTCAACAAATTTTTTATTATCATCCCAAAATTTACCTTTTATTGTTTTATAAAAAAGAATTAATTATATTTTAATATGAATTGTCTGGACTATTCAATTAAAAGATAAAGATACACTTAAGTACTTACAGTTCACAAAGGCGGGTAGGGGAATTGAATTGCCTATTAGAGCAGTTCCACTGTTGCTAAGGCTCCCCCGGGTTATTCACTATTTAATCCACCCAGTGAACAACAATTGCCCTTAATGAACACTAACTGCCTTTTGCATCTCCACCCCCACACTAAATAGCTCTGGCAATAGGCAATAAAATATTAGTATTTTTTTAAATAATACAAAATAATTTATTTGTAATTTCAGATAGGATTTTTAATCGGTCTTGTTGTACCACTTTCTATTAATTTTTTTTTAAATTTTTTTCTTTTCACATGGTGCAGCACACCATTCCCAAAACCTTTGTTTATGTTTTTCACATGGTGCCGATGCACCTTACCAAAACCTTTTTTTATTATTATTATTTTCTTCTTTTCACATGGTGCCAATGCACCATTCCAAAAGCTATGTGTTTTCTTTTTCTTTCTTTTTCAAGCTCAGCAACTTTCTCTCACTTGAGCTCCGGAGGCAGGGCCTCAGACTCTGACAACATCAATAGTCAATCCGTGCAAAAATTCATAGTTTTTCCTTAGTTAAGTAGGTAAAGGATTGCCAACTCCTTGGTTAAAATCTCTCTCTCTCTCTCCCCCAAAAACAAATCCCAAATCGTGCGATCTGGGCGCACAAGTGGAAGGAGGGGGATCGCGAGTGCGTGGAGGCAAAGGCGATGTGGGGTGTGGTGGCAGCTGCGGTGGAGGAGGGATTGGATCTCTCCCATTTATCTGTGGGTGTATCATCAGCCTCGGCGACGAACTTCGGTGAGAGTCGTTGAGTTTGAAGCCTGCCGGGTTTTACATTTTTTTAAATTTTTATCAATTTATTAATTTATTATTAATTTTATATTATGGCTGACGTCATCCTGACGGTTAGTCCACGTCACATTGCTTTCGGGCGCTCGGGCCGGCACGAATCGCCGGGCCTCTCGCTCGGGCCTGCTCGGGCTCGCTCACCAGCACATGCTGGGCTTCATCACTAGGGCTACATGGCCCTGTTCCTGCGCCTGTCCCTCGGGCTGGAGCACACGATGGACTTGCTCTCACTGCGGCTTTTTTAAGGGTGAAAATGTTTACACTAGATGTGCAAAGAATAAAAAAGAAAAAAATTAAAGAAAAAGGATATTGGTATTGTTGTAATCTCGTTTCTGCGAACCCCACTCTCTATAACTTGGGGTTGATTGAAGCTATTGGGTTTTTGATAATCTTCTGGTAAAAAAATAATGCTAAAAACCAGACAGATCTTGGGCTGTTCGTCAGGCTTCGTTTCTCATCGCTGGAAGCCATATTCTAATACTTGTACTAGTAGTTCTACTACAAGTGGTAGCCTCTCCTTCCTCTCCACCTCCACCTGCTTTAACCCTTTATTATCTTATTCGTCTTCTTCCTCAACATTATTGCCCACAGCCACCGCCACTTGGTCGTCCTCCACTCGCCGCCATCGTTTCGGAGCTCTCAGCATGTCGTCGGCTCCTTCTGGGTCGAACCCAGGTGTCCCTTCTTCTTCAGCTGCGGTTCAGTCTGCTGTAAGCCTCTGTTTTCTTTTTTGCCTCTCTTTTTCCTTGAATGTTGGGTTTGATATGGATTTTGTGTTTGGATGTTCAATTTATTTGGTGGGTTCTGGTGAGTTTTGGTTGGTTTGATGCTGGCGTTGTGGGTTTTTGTTAGCTGTTGAAAATTTGAAACTAAACCACATGTTTATATCTAGTTTACAATCGAGGACAGATTTGGTTGACCTCTTGATTTGAGTATATTGGGTAATTAGAAGTTTCTTTTGGCATCCCTTTGGCTTCATTTGTAGTATTTGCAAGAAAAATTGGTAGACATGGCTCATAAGGACAATGGATTGTACCAAGTAAATAAGCTATGGAATCAAAGTGGGGTGTATAAAGATTGCAGCTTTTCCCATTTGCTTAAGCTTTAACAAGTCATCATCTATGTTTTCTACAACAAATACTCGATGTTATATATTATAGATTACAAGCCAAAGTGAGCGTTTCATGTTTGCTTGTCTAAATTTTCTTTTTGTTTATTGATTCATACTTTCTTTACAAATTTATTTTCTATTCCTATGAAGGGCAATGCTCGTAAGATTAATTTCTGCCAGTTGTGTGGTGGTCCAACAAAGCATGAGATACCCAACGGTGAGGAGAAGATAAGAGCTATTTGCACAGTTTGTGAGAGGATTGCCTATGAGAACCCGAAAATGGTATACTATTCAAGTTAGAGTTTATTTTTCAATTGAATTATTGAGTTGTGCATGTGCCAATCCATGAAAAAATGATCTTAAGTTTTTCAGGTTATAACAAACTTTGTAGCATTTGGGAATTTTTCACTTTACTGTTTCGTAGAAGTTTTTGTTGATTCCAAAATCTGATTTTGATGGTAATGAAAAATAAGTTTAACTGTGTTATTTCTTCACCTGTTGTATTACAGTCAAACCAGATTGGATAATCCGAAAGGCTACCCTGGTTCTTTTCCCCAGCAAATACTTTTTAGGATATTTCTGTCTAATAGATTTGCTGCGCACTCTCACATACGTTTATTTATTAGTAAGAGTAATTGGAGGTTAGTACAACCCCCATCTCACAGCCTTGCCGATCCTAAACCACCTCAAAGCCTCATCCAAACCCAATGCTCCAATTTTCTCTAATGTAACTCTGCTTGTACTACTCATCAGTTGGTCCTGCTCACTTTTTTCTTCTTTTCATCAACTGGAGTCAGTTTCTGTAATTGCACATGTAGAATAGATGCTATGGTTGAATTTGAAAAGGAGGAAGCTTTACAAATGTTATGTGCTCAGTTTTGAGTTTGAAGTTCCAGAGCCTATGGACACAGGATTTTGTTTGTCCTCTAAGTTTAGTCCTTTTTATGATATGTAATATGCATATTAGGAGGAATTGTTTTATTTCAAATGTGACATTAATTTACGTATTGTTCAACTGATGCTTACAGGTTGTGGGTTGTCTGATTGAGCATGATAACAGGATCCTACTTTGCAAAAGGAAGATTCAACCATCATATGGCCTTTGGTATGTTTGTAAATGAATAAAGTGGCAACTTTTCATAGTGATGAATGTACTATATTGTATCTTTGATGTGTATCATAGTTTTAATTGTTGGGTGTTGTCATTTAGGACTCTCCCTGCAGGTTACATGGAAATTGGGGAATCAGCTGCAGAAGGAGCCATCAGGGAAACCTGGGAAGAAGCATGTGCCGATGTGGAGGTGTTGTCGCCTTTTGCTCAGTTGGACATCCCACTCATTGGCCAGGTAAGCAAGAAACTTCTCTTTTGTTTACCTTTTTCCTCAAAGATGAACAAATTCCTGTGCACTTGATAAAGATGTTTTTGCTTCTTGTGTTTTTTGGAGCAGACTTATGTAATTTTCTTAGCAAGGCTCAAGACACCCCATTTTTCACCAGGTCCAGAATCGTCAGAATGCCGGCTTTTTGCACTTGATGAGATACCTTTTGATTCTCTGTCTTTTTCGTCAATGGTTGTTACCTTAAAATTGGTATGGACGTCTTTCAGATGCCAACATATATTTGATTTCTTCTAGACATTTATCTTATATCACAGTTTCTTATCTCTTGTGGCTGCAGTATGTTGAAGATGTAAGGGCCGGAAAGATCAAGTTCCACTATGGTACCATTAATAAAAGGTAGGTTCAGTTAATATGATCTTCCAATTAGAAAAGAATAACGCAACTCCCATACTGAAACAAGTGCATTTTAAGGATAAAAACAATTCAGCCACTTCTAAAATTTGAATTATGCATTTTTGAGCTGTTCAAATTTGATTTCTGTTGAATGCTTTCCAATATCGAATATATCCTTATTGATATTGTATGTTTGGTGTTTGTTTTCAGGCCCGGCACAAGTCCTTCTGACAGTCATGCCTATACTTTAGATTATCATCTACAGTCATGACAAGAAGGTGAGTGATTATATCTTTATCTTTGGCATTCCTTGCCCACCTACAAGTATGATGTTTGTAACACTAATGTATTGAGTAACGGGTCAGTCCGTTATCTCTGTCTACAATGCCCTTAAAATAGTCTTCATCTATATGTTTGTTCAAGTGGTGTTATCAAAATCCAATATTTTTTACTTTCGGTTATGAATGATGAATCCACATTTTGGATTTTCATAATCTTGTTGCTTGCCAGTTGCAGAACCCAGTTGGTGTCTGAAAATTGGAGCTGAAACTTTTAAGCACATCGGTGAAGTAGGGAGTGTATCTTCCTAGAAAAATGGAGCCGATATATCTTTGCCAACTCCAGAACTCACTGTTCCGATGGAGATTGGATGTTGGCTCTACTACTTGGATTCTGCATAATGTCAAATTATTCAGCCGTACGGTTGGTAGATGTGCATGGTTCTGGAGTTCTGTCTCAAAATGCCCACTTCTCCTGTAGAGAACCAAACTGTATAAAGCTTGAACAGAGATTCAAAAATCAATGAAAATTTTTCTTCAACTGATGTTGATTTTGGAACAAAGATTTATTTATTTTCAGGTGATAATCAAGGTTCCGCGTTGAAGAATTTTTCGGTGTGACAGCATGTGCAGTGTTCACAAGTACGTGTTTCAAATAAGTGTTATACTATGTGTACTGTAAATTGCAACACTTGGTGGTGTTACAGTCGCATTGAAGAATTCTCTCATTTCTTAACTGGAAATTGATGTCAGCCAACTCAAAGTACATTGTACAAGAAACCTCAGATTTAGGGGTTTTTGGTCTGATTTGGATGGTCGATAATGGTTTTCAAGGCGATGAATCATCTTACCTTTTCTTTTTGGGAGGGTTTTGAAACTTAGTAAATTTGGTTGATGTCATTTTCAGTATGTTTTGCATTTGTTTGCGATTGCCGCAGATGAGAACCTTTACTTGTGCTATGCATGCATCAGGGGCGTCTTGAGTTTTTTTTCCCAAGTTTCAGGGCCTTATGTCCGCCTACATGATTTTATACGATGTCTTTTTAGACTTTGTTGAATGAATTATACTTGCCCGTTAATCATTAATTAATAGGTGGTAATATACAGAAAAATTGAAAGGTCGAGTCCTTTTTTAAGGTGAACCAAAAGCTCACGGGGCATTTTCTAATTAGCTCAAAAGATTAATACATGCTAACGAGATTTCCAACAATGTGTGATATTTTTCTTGTGCTCAAAACACGTCGGAGTTTTAAATATCATTATACAAGTGGTGAAAAGTTTTCATTTTTAGCTTTTTTAAAATGTCTTGTATTCCGGACATATTAGAAAAAATCAACATCAATGTTGTTGAAAAGTCTGGTGGGTAATCAATGCCCACAGTACATTAGCAGAAGTTTTCAGTATTGGCAGAAGTTTTCAATGCCCATGCAAAGTAAAAGTTGAATTTGTAAATGCATAGAAATTAGGGGTGGGCATAAAAACCGCCAAACCGCAAAACCGCATCGAACCGTAAGAAAAAAAATCGAAAAAAACCGTGTTGACCGGAAAAGTCAACTTTGAGTGAAAAACCGAACAGAACCGTTCAAACCGGTTCCGGTTTCGAATGACCAAGAACCGGCCGAACCGAACCGAACCGTTTTATTAATAATAAATAAATAAATTATATATACACACACATGTCATGGTATAATAGGTTGAAAAATAGGTTGAAAAATTGTGTACAGGAGCTGCTGCTTCTTGCTTGCTCTCTGAAGTCTGAAAACCTGCAATTTGCTTCATCATTTTTTTGTTTGTTGACTGATTGACCAGTGCATATGTATTTTAGTTGTCTCTTTTTGTTGACTTGGTGCCACTACCAAAGACATTTGCATTAAAAAAGATGTGTTGTATGCAACTTTATGTAATCAATTTTAGAAGATGTATTTGAATGCATAATGGTTTGGTGTTCAAATAATTTATTATTAGGAACCGTAAACCGGCAAGAATCGAATCGAAACCGGTGTAGACCGAACCGTAAGGTTCTAGTAATAAATTTAAGTGGAACCGCACCGAATCGAACCGTTAATATATTTCGGTTTCGGTTCCAATTTAGGGGTGGAACCGCACCGTGCCCACCCCTAATAGAAATTGTATTGTCAAAGGAAGTGATGTAAACTCCAATAAGCAGTTAATGCATCAGTTTGGAGTTGCTCTATAAATAAAGCACTATGTATGTTTTCAAGTTACAGAAAAATATAAGAAGAAGAGAACGAGAGAAAAATATCAGTAACATCATCTATTCCTCTGTCTTTTATTTGTTATCCTCTTGTGCTATATTTTAAGTGTGACATTTTACATCTACCTTGCACCTACCATTAAAAAGGTTATCTCTCTAACTTTGACCTATTCATAACACGTTATCAGCACGAGTCTCTAAATATAATTATTCTCTCATCTCTCTTCGCCGAACGAAAGAAAGAAAAAAAATGTTTCCCTTAAAGTTTTTACTGTTCATCTGCTTCCTCTGCCTCAACTGCGCGATGTACCTTCGCGACGAATTGTTTGCTCCATGCCTCCTCTTAGTTCTCAATCAACGGTTACATACATCTTTGATTACTTGTTTGGTGTAGAGATTGATTACTAACCCAGTATTTATTTATGTTAATTTTACTGCAATCAAAGATGGTGCAGTACAATCGCCCATCTTGAATTGCAAATTTATTCTTATTGCGATCCAAGACGGTGCAGTATGATCGCTTATCTTGGACTGCAGATTTAATTTTACTGCAAATTTTAGATGGAGCGGTATAATCGCTCACCCTACCCTGCATATATAAATTTACCTGCTGTTTAATTTCATTGCAATTTTAGGTGGTACGATATAATCGCCCACACTGCTCTGCATATTTAATTTTCCTGCTATTTGAGTGGTGTGGAATACTCGCCCATTCTATATTACATTATTTTAATGAGAATGGTGCGGTACAATCGCCCTCCTCATTCACTCTGAAAATCTCGAGCCAGAAGTTTCGAGCGCTTATTATTTTTGGCTTAAAGATCAAAATGAAAAATTTATAAGAACCAGAAGTTCTAACATCATATTCCTCTAGGAATACATATTATTGCAAGTTCTTATACATCTCATTTTCTTTCAGAAAAGAAAATGATGAACTTGGCGAAGCTTAAATTTGCTGCCCTGGATATTACCGGGAAGAATTATCTAACCTGGGAACTGGATACCAAAATCCATCTGGAAGCAAGGAATCTTGGAGATACCATCAGGGAAGAGAGCAGCTCATCCTCTCAAGATCAGGCAAAGGCCATGATTTTCATTCGTCGCCATCTCGATAAGGCGCTAAAGAGTGAGTACTTAACGGTTGAAGATCCATTAGCTTTCTAGAATGCCTTGAGAAATAGATACAATCACTAGACAACGGTGATTCTTCTAAGGGCCCGCTATGAGTGGACTTATCTGAGGATCCAAGACTTTAAGTCAATGACAGAGTACAATTCTGCGTTGTTCAGAATTACCTCTCAGACGAAGCTCTGTGGGGATATTATTACTGAGGAACATATGCTGGAAAAGACTCTCAGCACATTTCATGCCTCCAACGTGCTCTTGTAGCAGCAGTATAGAGCGCGAGGCTACACTGAGTACAACCAGTTGATATCTGTGCTCTTAGTAGCTGAACAGAACAATGAGTTTCTGATGAAAAACCATTATTCCCGACCTGCTGGATCTGCACCATTTCCAGAAATGAATGCTGCTTCCCTCGAAGTGAACGCCACATCCTCTGGTAGTGATAATCATAAACGAGGACGTGGCCACAAGTGATGTCGATGGTATAGGAAAGGCAAGAACCATGGAGTTCAGTTTCACAATCAGGTTCCGAGGCATAATTCAGGCCCGAGCTTCAAAAATGTGAATCGCTACAAAGGCAAAACTCATATGAACAATGCTCCCAGGAACTCTGAAGAAGCCTGCCATAGGTGTGGTGGCAATGGACATTGGGCGCGTACTTGTTGTACCCCAAATCATCTAATAGATCTGTATCAAGCCTGCCTCAAGGAGAAGGGTGTCGAGACCAATTTTCTTTACCAGGCTAGACCAATGGATATACATGATCTGGTGTTTGACTTATCAGGGTAGTTCAACACAACCCACCTAGATGTTCCAGACTTTATTATGGAAAGGGGAAATGAAGTATACCAGTCTGATTGAATCATTGATGTACTTTTATTATGTTGAACTTGTAGTATTTTAGATTCAATAAAAGTGGCATGTAAATTTCTTGTTATAACTTGCTTTTAACTCTGATTCTCTTACTCAGAGAGTATGGATAAAAACTGTGGTTATTCTCAGAACATGAGAAATGGCGGAGATATTTGTCTTGCAGACAGTGCAACCACACATACAATACTTCGTGATTGAAAGTATTTCTCAAGCTTAATACTTACAAGAGTAGGGGTAATAATAATATTTTTAAAAACATTTGACAACATAAAACTTAAACGCCTACTCTATGCTTCTTTTGGTCCAAAGATGTACAACAAGATCCTGTTGTAGGTACTTATTTGTGGCATGAGAACGTATCATTCTATAGCGCCTAATGTACTCATTTATAGAGATGCTACTAGTTCTTGGATTGAAAGGCAAATTAGGCCTATCATATATTTTTGCACGAGCCATTCTCACTCATTTTGGGTATATGCCATCTGCCAAGTAATACCCCATATTGTATTGACAGTTGTTGATGTAGTAGTCAAGTTGAGGTGTTTTACCTTCCGTCAAGTTATTGAAGAGGGGTGAACGCCCAAGAATTGGGACTCCAAAGAAAGTATGCCAGATCCATGTGTCTTATGAGGCAGCCGCCTTTAACACAATAGTTGGCTTTCTCGACCTTCCGTTAAAACCTCCTTGCCATCCGGTGGGACAATTTTTCCAATCCCAATGCATGCAGTCTAATGACCCTATCATGCCTGGAAACCCACAGTCTTCAGCTTTGCGAAGGAACCGATTCAGATCTTCTTGATTTGGCTCGCGAAGGTACTCATCTTTGTAAACCTAAACAATTGTGTCACATAATTGTTCAAGAGTATGAAGGCATGTAGACTCAGACATACCATGGGTTTCATCAATCGAATCAACTGGGGAGCCATAGGCCATCATTCGGAGTGCAACAGTAACCTTCTGATGAGGTGAGAAACCAGAGCGGCTTGCTTTGTCTCGCTTTTGTCGAAAGTATAGATTGACCTGTTGGACATCACGAAGTAAAAGCTTGAAGACATGACGCCTTATTCAGAAGAGACATCTGAAATCCTCTTCTGTGTACACCGAGTTGGGTTTGAAGTAGTTGTTCATCAGATTGGCATGCACCATCGCTCTGTTTCGTGGTTTGTAAGAGCGACCGTCAACAGAAGCACCCCATTGAGGTTGTGCCTCAGTTGGTTGACACACCATGGTCGCAGCCATGGCTGCTGCTCTGTTTTGTTTTTGCGCCTTACTTGAACTTCTTCATCAAACTCCTCATCTTCTCGTCTCATTTGCGCCCATTTTGCTTCCAATTTGGAATTGGATGAGGACCCCCAGTTGGAATTCGAAGAGGATCCAAAGTTGGAATTCATTGCAAACTTGAATTAAAAAAGATTGAAATGAAATAGATTGAATCCTATTTATAGCAAAAAAAAATTCAAATCCAACGGCTAGCTGACGTCACTTAGCCGTTGGATTTGAATTTAAGTTGTAGTTTTTAAATAATAAATTATGTTTGGCCTTATGGTCCTTTGGCCCTCGGTTGGATACGGTTTTTTGTGACAGGGCTAAAATGAGCTCTATGGCCATTTGACCCTCGTTTGGAGACTGAGGCAGATATGGTCTTGTACTGTTTATTAAAATGTTAATATTTTAGAGGATCAAAAGGTTAAAACGAGCCATCTGGTCATCCTTGATTAGAGATGCTTTAAAGACAATTATTGTTCATGAGAGGGAATTCAATAGGAGTTGCCCCACGGCGCCTTTGATACGTGTTGCTCTAAAAGTCGTTTTACTGGACCTTCAGTCTTCCCCTGACCGTAATTGGAAATTAGGGTTTCCGAGTAAGTATGAATCTCCGACTTCGATCCTTTCAATCTAAACCCTAACCATTTGATCCAATCAGACTCCTGATCATTCTTCATGGACAAATCCAATTCCTTCAAAGCCACCCAGAATCCATGGAGCGCCGATTTCGGACTCGGCGCCACCGATCGGAGATTGGCGTTTTCCCGCCAAGCCTCGTTCCAGCAGTACCGCGAACCACCGCACACGCCTGTCTCCATCAATCTAAACGACTCCGAGGCCACGCCGTTTCTCTCCCGGAGCGTGTCGAGTATAGACGTTCCGCCGGGGGCGTATTTGACGGAGGAAAGCGACAAGCTTTTCGGGGACCGGAGCGTTTCGGCCGAGAAATTGTCGGTTTTGTTGCTTTTCGAATCGGTGTTTCGTATCTTGAGGTCCGGAAACCGGTATATGAAGAGGTTGTTCTTGTTGATTTCGCTTAATGTGGCGTATTCGACAGTGGAGTTATTTATTGGACTCTTCACGGGACGTATAGGTTCGTAAATCGCCATTAATTGCCTAAATTTATATGAAACTTGCGATGTTATTGCTCGACTTTTGGTTGAATTGTTGTTTTGGTTCGTTTTCAGGTTTGGTGTCGGATTCCTTTCATTTAAGTTTTGGTTGTGGCTTATTAACGTTTTCATTGTTCGCTATGGCCGCTTCTCGAAAGAAACCGGATGGAATTTACACTTATGGGTGAGATTGTTAGTAAGATGAGCTGGAGTATTAATGTCTTTGGGCATAATTTGGATTGAGAATAATGTGTATGTAATGACTTCCTTTTATTCGTTTAATCAGGTATAAAAGGCTAGAAGTTTTGTCCGCTTTTACCAATGCTGTAAGTATCTCACATTTCCCATATCATGGCAATTTTACCCGCTTTCGGCTTTTCCTAATAAATTAGGAAGCTTTCCGTATGCAATTTCTCTATTTTTAGGTGAGGATGCTTGCGTAGCATTAGTATTTTGAGACACTTTGATTCTTTTATTTTTGGTGTCCTGTGGACATTACTTGTGTCTTACAACGGACTTGGCATTGATTTGAGAATAGTCCGTATCTTTAAAAATTCAAATTTATGTTGATTCTCATTTTACATTTTCTTGGGAAACTTGCAATCCAAGTGCCATTATTTTTTATTTGATTTGGTTGTTTCCATAGCCACTTTTAGATGTAACCTTGATGTCCATATATGTTTTCACTTTTGTTACATCTTTTATGTATCTCAACTTGTTGCATTGGATGAGATTGCCGTCCCTTTTCTTTTCATTTGATCATAGTATTGGATTAGTTTCTTTCATATTTCCTCTCGGCTAATATATGGACTTTGTTTTGATTCTGCTGCACATGTAGACAGCTGTTTCTTTTGTTTATGTCATTCTCATTGGCCGTCGAAGCACTTCACGCATTCATACAGGATGAATCTGAACACAAGTAAGTTGGTTATGCAAACTACAATGATCTGACATTCGACAATTCAAGGTCCTTTTCCAGTGATTGTGTCAACGGAACTTTGCTCTTCCCCATGTTTTTTATTTTGGCATATACACTTTTTGCTTCTGGGATCTCACTATTTCATTTGCTTTCACTGTTGTTCCAAAATATTCTATATATGTTTATATTATTTCATGTGTCTTCAGATGGTTGTCTTTGTGGTCTATTAAAAATCTCCTAGCGTGGTCCACTGACTTGCTAAGAAATTACTATTTAAGACTAATTCTGAGAAAGTTAAGTTTGGTATAACATTGAAGTATAGTTCTAATATTGTCTTGTGGCACATTATAAAGATCTGCTGTATCTTTACCAAATGTTTTGTAGGTTCACATATTTAATAAGTATCTCTGACTTAAACTGGGCTGACTGACAAGGGTATCAGATAATGATTTTATTTTAATGTGATCTCACGATTTGGTACTCCGTTCATACTTATGTATTTATCTAATAAATTGGGCCAGGATTACCACTGGTCTATTCATCATTAGGCAAACTACTGTGGTAGAAAGTTTTTGGTTCCTCCTTTTGTGGTTATAGTTTTTATTCTGATGGATTTTGTTGTCTGCCAATTATATGGTTGTAGGCATTACTTGATTGTTTCGGCTGTGACAAATCTACTGGTGAACCTTATTGGCGTTTGGTTCTTCAGAAATTATGCTCGTGTAAATCTTGGTAAGTTTTCAGCTGTATGTTATGTTTTGGCATTGAGAACCATTTGTGATTGTCTTGACCATCTATGAAATTCACCATGGTATTTGTTTCTGAGACTTGCCCTTAACTCACCTAAAAAATTGCCTCGGTTAGTCTAGTTATAAAGATTGTCACTGTTCTTTTGCATTCTTTTGAAAGTTCGGGATAGTGGACTTAGCATATACATTGGCGCGCAACTTAGTTAAAACTTGGCATCAAAGGCCACAAAAATCATCCTTGTTTTTGCCCCGACCTAAATAATTGCAATAGTAGAAGAGTAGTAGAAAGATTTGGGCCTAACATTCGGAAAGTAAAGTTTTCCATGACACATCAGAATGGTGCGGTTACTTTCCTTACACATATATTAGCTTCATGCTATGTTGGTCGTATTTTCTGGAGACCACTGGTATTGGTGTATTCATCGGTGTTTGGTTTAGCCTTTATGATCTTTGTGCATCCTAATTTCGTGCCTTCATATCATCACAAAACAAAAATGGATGCTATTGGTAAATGTGTGGGATATGATTAATATGTGCACTTTGTATCAATGACTCATTGCCCTTTTAAGGGATTTACTTTTGAGTATGGGCATTGGGAATGACATTTTTTGGTTTCCTTCCCTTTTGTTTTATGTGGTGGACATATGTCATGCAGTTTATAGAAATGCAGAAGATATGAACAATCACTCAGTTTGCCTGCATGTTCTTGCAGATTCAATTCGCAGGTACAACGTCCTCCCCTTGTTATCTGTTTTTGTTTAGCACACTAATTACCTTTTTGAATACATGTAACAACATAAATATTGTCTTGCCAGTCCGTCTGGCAGCATACGAAGATTATACTGCCCGACACTGAATCTAGACCTTTAATCAGTTTATTCTTTGGGCGAGACCCTATGTAACTATATATTTATCATATGAACTTCTATCTGAAGCTAGTATATGGAAATTTGTTTCCCAGTGCAGGGGTGATATTGGCATCCTGGTTTCTGTCTATTGGGTGAGTAAATAATGCTTGATTTTCTGTCTATTTTTCTTCTCTTTTGTTTGCCTTGATTTGAGATCTGTTTTCAACTATGTAGGGTTCAGAATGCAGAGGTTTTATGTTTCGGATTAGTTTCAGCTGCAGTTTTTATGCTTGTAATGCCATTATTTAGAGCGAGTGGTGGTATTCTACTCCAAATGGCACCACCGAATGTTCCACCTTCAGCATTGAGCAAATGCTGGCGACAGGTGTATTATATTTGCTGCAGCATGGCTCAATCCTAATGTTTTGTTAGCAATCGAGTTATTGATGTTTGTATTGACATTATGTTTTTGTCAGATTACTGCCCGTGAAGATGTATCTGAAGTTTCACAAGCACGGTTTTGGGAATTGGTTCCTGGTCATGTTGTTGGGTCGATTTCAGTACAGGTAACAATTATTGTAAATAACTTCTGTACTAAGTGCATGTTGATGCAGTCAATTTTCGATAGGGATATCCTACCTTTACGGGTCTGATTTTAGTCGATGATGCTAACAGGTGAAGAAAGGAATAGACGATCGCCCCATTCTTCAATATGTGCACGGTTTGTACCATGATTTGGGAATACAGGACTTGACAGTGCAAGCTGACAATGTCTAAGAATTTTTTTTTGGGTTGGTTTCTGCGTTGTTTGGTAGTTGGGTGAAGATAGTATTGGATTCATGTCTGAGATGTCGATTTGTCACAACTTTTTTCGTTTGAAACCAAATTTCCGATATAAGAGGAATTTAATCGGATCCGTGTCATTGTAATCAAATATTCTTCTCTTTTATTCAAGAAAAGTAGTTGCGGCGGTGGCGGAGGTTTACGATTCCGTTGGTGTTTCATTCATTTGCATTTTGTTGTCTGATCTTATAGCTTCGTATGCTGGTACAACCACGGTATATATTGAAAGCAAGTACAAATTCATAGAATAAAATGAAGAATACATTTAAACGACTTGGGAACTCTTTTCGGTTTGCATTACGATCCATTTAAACGGCCGTAGATACGATGCGAAACCCGAGCCACCAACATAAGAAGGGCGGGTAGCAGATGCACCAAACATCATAAGATTAAGAAGTGGGAGCGGTCGTGTGATGTTTGAGCTTGGGACATTGCCTTCGAAGGAGAACCTGATGGTGAGGATGGAGATGGAGAGGGGCTTGGACTCTCGACTGAATCTTCTAGTTAACTAGCATCGCAAAATCTTCCTCCTGTTTGTAATTGAATATGAATTCGTTGCCGACATAAAATTCTTTTGATGAAGCCCACTCGTAGTCCACCCTTCTAATCGCTGCCAACCGTGTAAACAGTAGCAGTAGGAATTCTATTTAGGAATAATACTAACGAGGCCGAATTCCATTTACAAAAAACTCAAACACAAACCACCACTCCATTGATTTTCGTTAGACGAGTTTCATTGAATTTATTTACTACCCAAATATCGAAATTCAAACTCACTTCATGGAAATCAATGACCACTTAATAATTCCTCATTTTTATACTGCTTGAGTTGAGAAATGTGGCTTTTGTATTTTGAATTTCTTTGAACCCTCAGCCATGGGAGTGATGTGCTACTAGTTCTAACTTTAAATGCTTTTTATTCATGGGATCACCGGAGATTTGCTGCCAAGGTTGATTAGTTTCCGGTTAAAATACTAACACGAACATCTTTGGTTGTTCTGAGGTAACATAACAACGAAACATCAGTGAATTATAAACCTGTTGAATTTGATATGGGAGGAAGAAACCAATGCCCTGGAATAAGACGCAGCATTGTCTACAGCCTGCAGGGAAATAAGCCCTTGGCCTTTCCTAAGCTGATTTAATTACAAGAACGAACTTAAAGCGATGGTTATGAGTAAATCAAGTGCTTCAGTAAAACTTCTGTTACTAAATAACATGCGTGTTACGATACATATGAACAAGCATAATATATACACACAATAATAGACATATATTTCTATATATATTTACAATGTAAGAAAATGTGACTAGCCAAATTATTTCTGTTACAAAATTACACTTCCAGAACACCAAGGCTTTTCTTGATTTCTGATTTGGCTATATTAGTAATCTTCCACTGGGTTCTGTTAATGAAGTAATTTAGCCTCCAGCCACATCAGATTCTGTATCATCTTTGAACGATGGAGGCCTGGCTGGCCACACAAAAGCAGGTCGTTCTTGGGGCAAAGCTGGCGGATCCGCTTCCCTTGTAAGAACCATAAGGACAGTTCTCATAGATGGCCTCTCATGTGGGTTAGGGTGGCAACACGATAACCCCAACATCAACACGCATGCCATATCAGCCTCGTCGATGTCTCCATCCATTCTTGAATCAACAGCATCAAGGATCCTTCCTCTGCTATAAAGATCCCACAGGCAATACACTATGCTGTTATTGTAGTTGTTCTGCTTGTTTTGATTACCAGGCCTTCGTCCGCAGACAACTTCTAGCATAAGAACACCGAATGCATAAACATCCGTCTCAACAGTAGCCCTTCCAATAAGAAATGTCTCCGGAGCCATGTAGCCTGGTGTTCCTGCAATCTCATTCGTGGAGTGGTGAGTCAAGTTACTGTGCTGAATGGTACGAGCGAGTCCAAAGTCTCCCAGCCTCGCGTTGAAATCTGAGTCCAACATGATATTGCTGGCTTTGATGTCTCGGTGAAGCACTCGCTTCTCACATCCATTGTGAAGATAATCTAGCGCCTGAGCTACTCCAAATATTATGCTGCGCCTTCTTTCCCAGCTCAGTGTTGGTTTCCCTATCTCTGTGCCAAAACTCTCATCCCTGAATACAAATCTGTCTAGGCTTCCATTTGGCATGAACTCATAGACGATAAGAAGCTCATGGCTTTCGTAGCACCATCCAATTAGTTTGACCAGATTTTTGTGACGAAGGCTGCCAATTGTGGTGACTTCTGCTATGAATTCTTGCTTGCCTTGACGTGAATCCTTTGAGACTCGCTTGACAGCCATCTCTTTGTCTCCCAAGAGTCCCTTATAGACAGTTCCAAAGCCACCTTTTCCGAGCTTATTCTTGGGATTGAATCTGCCTGTTGCCCCTTGAAGTTCTTTCAGTTTGAATTTTGTTGGAGCCATGGAAGTTGTTTTAATCTCATCTTCAATCCTCGGATGCACCTCCTGCTTTGCACCTTGTCTTGTCCTGAAAAAGTAACAACAAACTCCAGTTACCAAAAGGAGTACTACTACTGGGACCGTAATCCAAACCCACAGCAGGTTTGAATTTTCATCTATATGCGACGAGTGGAAGTCCCAAGATAGGATGCAATTTAGCTGAGTGTTATTGCTCGTGGAAGCTGAGAATCCCACATAGGCCTCCCTCGAAAGATAGGCAGAGAGATCGAGGGTGTGAGCCAGAACTGGAGTATTATTCATTCCTTCCCTAGTTTTATTGGTCTGGGAAACAAAGACAGCGATGTTCTGGCTGTCATACTCAATTCTCACTGTGTAATTGGTTTCGCTTGATAGATGAACACCATAGCCAAGCAAAGGCACTTGTTGAATCGAGTAAACGCTGTTTACGTCCAACCCCACGTGGTTGTCATCCACATCTTCCGAGTAGCTCTTTCTTGTGTCGAATTCTACTGCCACTATTTTAGCTTCAGCAGATCCGTTTGACTTTGCATTTACAATTCCAAGCCATTCCCCCTCGCTGTTGTCAGGAAGAGTGGGACTTTCTGTTAAGATAAAGGCCAATCCTTCACCACCTGGATTGGTTTTGGGAGTGATGTTCAGCACAAAGGTAGAATTGAAAGATGCTACTCTGCGATCACCGTCTTCGCCCTTCCCCCACAACTTGAACGGTTTTTTATACAAAAACCTTCCAGCTTGGTTCTTGATTGAAACCACGTTACTAACATCAGGAGTCACCTGGATGGCCTTTAAATATATGCGTGAATTTTCGGATCGAACAAAATCCTTCTCATCAACGCTGTCTCGAAATGTGGGATAGCTAAAACTCAAGCTTCCTGCTGGAGTAAAAGCACACAAGTGCAAGAGGGCTAGTAGGAAGACGGCAGACGTTTGCAGCAAAGGAATTTCCATCCTACTCATGAAGATTTTCCGGTAGAGTTTGAGAGACCGAGAAATCGAAGGATGAAGGAGCTATCAAGGTGGAAGGAGAAGGAGAAGGAGGACATGGTCTATTGCAAAATATTTAAGCTAATTGATGTCAGACAAATGACTTGTATCAGAAGGAAGCTTTTTTTGTCAATTTCTCTACTTGTCGATTTGAATAGAATGAGATAAACAAACAAGGGACTTAGAATTTCATATTATTTAGCATCATGGTAATTACTTGAGGATTGTAAAATCAACTATATTGTGGTCACTGAATTCATTTTTTATGCTTCTATCCTGTTTTTCTCGTTACGAAATCTACAACGAAAGTTCCTTGCCAACTGACATGATCAGGAAGAAATGAGAAAACACAAATTTAAGAGGAAAAAGTAAGGTCAAAATGAAAGTAACTGAGAATGAATTAAATGAATCAGGACGCCAAGGTGACAACGAACTTATTTCATGTAAATTGTTCTTCTATAATAGGCCAACAAATAAATTAGTATTCTTACTCATGATCATTTGGTTTAGCGGCATACAATCTCTATTTTGTTGGTTAAAAAAACCTTAGTTATCATGTTATGGCTACTTTATTTAACCTTTGAAAAATCATCAGGTTAAGAGGTTAGCGTTTGAACGAGTGAACAAAAATAAGAATATTGCTATGAAGTAAGAATTCAATGCCAGAAAATAAATAAATAAATAAAATGAGTTGGTCATGTTGTAGGGAGATTAAGTCTTGGCCGCAAGAGACCTGATATTTAATTAATGAAAATAGGCAGAATTATGAAGGTTAAGATGATTGTGTCAAAGTTTCAGATTTTTCTATTAAGTTGTTTGATTATGGCTAAGAAAAGAAGGCTCAATGCACAACTTTCCTAGATGGACGTTTTGAATATTTTGAAGGTCAAGATGGTATATTTAGAGGAAGATTCCTTCTGAGGATTTGTCAAGAACGTCTCAAGCTTTGGAGCCAAATCAAAGTTGAGTTGGTCGGTCAAAAGTCTAATTTTCTGAGAAGTCTGAATTTCAGTTCAAATAGTAAACCTTTTATTTTCTAGTTATCTTATTCTATTATGTTTCCTAGTTTTTAGAAGACCTTTTCTAGGTAGAATTTTATTTTGTGGTAGTATAAATAAGGCTTTTTAGTCATTGGAGAACTTTGGCTTTGACTATTTGTATTTCAAGGTGTTTTCTATCTTTTTTCTATTTCAATAAAATTCCTATTGTTTTAAGGTTGTTCGTAACTAATTTCTTTGCTAGGGCGATGCCTTGAGCCTTAGCATGAATATGTAATTTTTATTTAATTGCTTATGATATTATGTATGCATACTTTGAATTATTAATCACTGTGTTTAAACTGTTTCTATATCTTAATGCTTATCTACCATTAGGATGTTTAGATAAATAACCGGATGCAATTCAGTCGGAATGCCACTGGAGGATTGGGTATTGCTTCTTATGATTGATAATTGTAAGTTCACCTAGAGTGAATGCCACGTCTTAGGGGTTGCATGGTTTTTCAAAGGGTTTTCACAAAGCGTAATAAGTCATGCATATTTATATTTGATCTGAATGTCACAGATGTATTGCATATTTGATATACGTTTTAACTTGAATGCCACAAGTAGAATATGCAAAAGAAATACCTAACCTTCAAAGTTGCATGTGTAATTCATAAGTAATTGATAAAACTACATAAGATTGTTAAGGTGATGGCCTTTTATCATTATTTTCTAAGATTGT